AAGTCTTGTTAAAGCATTTTCTTAAAGCAAGGGGAGGATGGAATTAAAATCATCACTCATCTTTTGATCTCTGAGTAGTCCATGAATTTAATGTTCATAATATTTTCTATTGGAATTCTTCTTCTTCTTTAAATGTTTCTTTATTTCCTTCAGGAATCTCTTCTAGGTAATGTTAATGATTTAGTTAAAATGTATGCCATTATTTTAGTAGCTTAAGGATATAAACTATCAGCAATTAAATTCTATATTAGGAACGATTTCAGTCCATTTTTAAGTTATTGCTATTTTAATTACATTAAAACTTCTTTGTTGTTGTAAGTGTATTATTTTACCTTCATATGTTTCACTTGATTGAACATGAAATTGTATTACTTCATTTTTTTAAAAAAAATTGAGATTAGTGGTATTTAATTTAAATTAATTCTCCCTCCTCCCTCTCTCTCACCTTAGTTGACTAAGACCCAGGACTAACTATAATGCTAGCACATTGAAGGTGTCACATATAGAAGGAAACCTTTCAAACAAAAGTTGTTTTATAAGTATCTAAATCTTCAACTAAATTTGAATATTTTTCAAAACAAGTTGAGTATAAAATACTATCAGTATTAAAGTGATAAAAAGAAAATAAATGAAAAATGGCTTCTTCCCAAATAGTTATTTAGTATATCATATTATTGACTTATGCATAAAACTTCGGATAGCATATTTGAAGCACTTAATGGAATATTTTATGATAGATAAAGCCAGTGATTGAATTGTCTTCCTATAGGGAGAAATAAATTATAAAAAACCTTCTTCAATATATATCATTTTTCCCATTTATTTCATTTTATAGCTTCCAGACTATTTATCAATATAGTAATTCAGCTTGCTTCTATTTGGGATAATGATGTCTAAACTCCATCACTGTTTAAATATATAAAATAAGCTACTCAATTTAGAGAATCAATTTTGAAAAAGATCGCACTCCTGGGATATATTGATTTCTAGCTATGGAATATATTTCATGACTGTTTTTGTAATGTATTTTATTATAATACGATATATGACAAATACTGAAATAAAAGCGTATTTGTGTACTGAATATAGGAATACAAAAGAAAATGAGTGAATGCAGGATGGGGGAAAGATGACATTAAAATTGCTGGACATTAATTACACGGAGGGTGTCCCTCTGAAAAGTGCCACATTTGAGTTCTTGATCAATTTTAGAAAAACAAAGGACCAAGGAAGATGAAAAGAAAAAAAATTAATTGAAATTTTTGTTAAAATGTTGTAACAGATATTTATGGTAATTTTAAATGCACGCTGGTCCTCATTTCCAGAATTGCATAGATTTAGACATGCAGTCATAGTAGCCCCGGGAAGCTGTGTGTCCCACTTGGATCACTCTTGCCTCTCTTGTGTCTGAGGCAGGGAGGAGCAGACCAAAGTGTGTGGTCTCTCCTGACAAGCACAGCCTGGAGGGGAAGGATGAGAGGCCTGGCCCCTTTCCTACACTAAGCCTTTCTGTTAACTCACTGAGACTCTGTGGACAGAGTCAGAAACGCTGAGGCCTGACCGCTGTTTTTGCTTGCACAGTTTTAAAAGCTATAATTAATTTTTTTAGCAGAGGTGCTACATATTTTTTGTTTTCATTTGCAAGGCTGTTTTGAAATTTTTTTTCTGAAAGTGCTACTTCAGATAATACATCTTCTGGTTACTATATGGCTAACCTTGAGCAATTTTTCAGATATATAATTTTGGATAAATACAGAAAATGTTTTCTTCATCGTTCCAATGGAAAAAAATGCATGATTGATGTCCAAATAGTATTAACTTACTAGAATAGTTATTCAAAATAATGTATGCTATCTCAGTGACCACATAGTATATAAGTGGGAATATAGCTATGCCCCAAAGTAGTTCATTTATTGCAAAAGTTTTATCAAATATTATTCATGTATTTCGTTTAAAGATAGAACAGAAGTCAGCAGTTAGGCAGTAAGATACAATATGGACAAAAAAATCAATTAGAGTTTTTTTCTATTTCCTTGCATCCCTGTAGGCATGAGAATTCTGAATATTCTCATTTAATTTCAGAAATGGT